AGGTGATTAACTCTTAACAGACGATTGTTTACAATCTCCTGGTCTAGTAATAGGCGTGGGTTCGAATCCCACTCTCATCAACATACCTTCTGGATTTTTTGGACATTTTTGAGCAGCTTCTTTACTGACGCTTGGCTTACTTGGCATTATGCTCAGGAGGGAAGAAATTCAAAACATTTCCTTTTTGCTCAAAATTTGATATGGGAGAAGAAGTCCATGGAGCTTCAGCTGAACCAAAATTTTCATGCACGTCAAAAAAAGTTTTATGAAGCACCCACCTCGGAGCTTTCTCTTATCCAATCAGATCCACTTTGAGAAGATATAACTCCACAAGGTTTTTGGTATTACCCCACCACATCCACATCTCTTTTGACGGAAGGGCAAAAGGGAAGCAAGGGGAATGAAGATGTGAAGAAGACATCGGGCTTGTTCCAATGTGAGTGCACGGGCCAACGTGTCAGTCATTGTGCTCAAAGTTTCCTCTTCCAAAAGCTACCTCTTTAAGCAACGAATTGGTGATTCACAACACCACAGAAGAGCAAAATAAAAGCAAAATAGAAATGCTCCCTCGCGTGGGGTCGAACCACGAACCTCTCGATTTATCTATTTGAATACTTCAAGTAACAGTCGAACGCGCTAGCCAATTGCGCCACGAGGGATGTTTGTTTTGATATGGTTGCCCATGCCAGTTTTTGTATATATAGTAAGTTAGATCGCAGCATAGACCTTTACAACAAATTTCTGTCACCTGATGCGTGTTCACTTCAAGAGGGTGCATGTAGTATGCCAGGAAATATCCACGCTTCCCATTGTTCTACTCACAACTGAGGGCCATTTAAGTTATGAAATCACTCCTCCATCTTCCTAGCCTTGAACCCCAGTCCCGGTACTCTACTCCTCAGCGCCAAACTGCTCAAAACCACACTAATACTACTCATTGCCATTGCCAAACTTGCCCAGACTGGATCCAACCTGACGTGTTTTCCTCCCCCCGTAACAATTGGATAGAATATACCTGCTGCTACCGGCAGCGCTATCAAATTATAAACCAGAGCCCAACCAAAGTTGAATTTGATCCTTCGAAAGACCATTTTACTCAAATCCAACAACGTAATTAGGGATTGGAGATTGCTAGAAACTAATACGAATTCAGCAGAGGAGATAGCAATATCAGAACCAGAACCTATAGCGATTCCTACGTCGGCAGTGGTTAGCGCAGGAGAATCGTTGATGCCGTCGCCGACCATTGCTACGAGTGCTCTTTTGGAGGATGAATTTTTCTTAGGAGGGAGAGACTTTTGAAGATAGGAGATCTGGTTTGCTTTTTCGGAAGGGAGAACTCCGGCTATGATATTGGTCGAGGGAATTCCAACCTGTTGACCAATAGCATTGGCCGTAGTTTGATTATCGCCGGAAAGCATCCAGACAGCCGTACCACGTGCTTTCAGGGCTGAGATAATAGAAATAGCCTCTGGACGAATAGGATCAGAGATTGAAAATATGGCCGTAAGTTTGTAGGGCTCATTCAACGTAGAATAAGCTACTAGTGCTACCGATTTGCCTTGCTGTTTCCATACATCGAAGCGAGATTGTTGAACAGGGGCAATCTTGACTCCATATTGTGTCATAAGCGATTCGTTCCCAATTAGCATTTTCCCGCTACTAAAGCTAGCTCTCATGCCGTGACCCGGCATTTCTTCGATGTCTGTGAAGGTTTTGAAGGATGGCTTTGAGTTGTTGACACAGAATGAGACAATGGCTTTGGCCACGGTATGGCTACTATTTTCTTCGGCGATCTTGATCAAATTTAAAAGATCTTGTTCTTTGTTGTTCGTTGGGACAATCAGATTACCTGAGATAATGTCATTGTTTGTGAGGTTCTCATCGCCTTGAACAATCTGAATGTTTGAGCTACTCTGGCCGCTTGAGACAATCAGATTGTTTTCGTTGTCTGAGACAAATTCAAAGTTTGTGACGGTTGGCTCGCCTCCTAGAGTCAAGGTGCCTGTTTTATCGAATACCACACAATCGAGCTTACTAGCTTTCTCAAATGCCTCGCCACCACCCTTTACTAGAATGCCATGATGTGCTGCAAGACCGCCACCAACGAATAGTGCAGTAGGAGCGGCTAGTGCTAGACCACAAGGGCATGCAACAACAAAAACAGCTATAGCAAATTGAAGAGACCAAACAGCCCAACCCCTAGAGCCACGATAATCGTCTGGCAAGACTCCTGAAAGTCCAAGAGATAGCCAAACAATGAAAGTAAGTATGGCAATAAGGGTAATGACAGGTACAAAGTAACCGGTCAGAGTATCTGCAATTCGTTCCATGGGTGCTCTTTTAGTTTGTCCCTCACGAACTGCCATGACGATTTGATCGAGCATTGAAGATCCAGCGACTCCAGTAATCTTGACTGTTACTGGGGATTCCTTGTTGACTGTTCCAGAAAACACTTCATCTCCCGCACTTTTCTTGACCAACTTTGCCTCTCCGGTCAAACTCGATTCATCGAACTTAGTCTCTCCCTTGATAACTTTTCCGTCACATGCTGGAGAACCACCATGTAAAACCTTGATAGTATCACCAAACTCAAGTAAATCAACGTCGACGCTTCTGATAGAACTTTGTTCACCTGAGGAGGTTCCTGAATGTTCATCAGAATATGGAACAAGGAAATCCCCGTCCGGTTCGTTTGATGAATTCGGGACAATTAAAAGTGCTTCTGTAGGCCGTAGCTTCCTTAACATAGTCACAGCGTCATCAGTCCTTGACTTGCTATAAGCTTCAATAAGACGGCCAACGAGTAAAAACAAGGTCAAGAAGACAACTGAATCAAAATAGAAAGAGCTATCATCCACCATAGCAGTCGGATGAGATGCAGCGGCGATTAATTGAGCCACAGATGATACGTAGGCAATCGTAGTACCTAGTGACATGAGCATATTCATGCTTCCGAAACGATAGAATCTTTGAAGAATTGGTGTCGTGCTGCCAGGTCTCCATAACGATCGTATTTCCTTCAGAGCTCTTCTATGGAAGACATCGGCACAAAGAAAGTATACCGGCGTAGCCATGACGAGGAGAGACCATTGCGCACGATCGACGCCGGCTCTAAGAGGTTGCATAAAATACCGTCGGATTGTATTGGATGGCGGTACCACACTCATGAAAATGATACCGATAAGTAGGGTTGGTATGGCGATGATAAAAGTGACGATAACTCGAAGTAATATTCTTTGTTGCTCCCTTTTGTGGATGATTTGAGACCGCTCTTCGATAGTCGGTGGATGATATATTGTCGGTACAAATCCTTCTTCGACGTTGGAGATTTTGGAAAGAATCTGCCTGATTGTGAAAGTAGGTGCCGATGGGGCGTAAGTTATTTTTAGTATTGGGTTCTCTAAACTCAAGGCTCTGTCCAGGATAATGAGATCGCCAAAACTGATCAGACTGTTGTTGATTCGAGGAGGGCAATGATCACAATACATGCCATTTACCATGATCTCAACCGTCTTCGTCACTTTTTGTTTTTGAGGCTCGGGTTTCAAATTGATAACACTATCCAAGGCCGCATCATAGCCAAGATCCTCTATCTCTTCAACTATTTGACATGTGTATTTCTCATCGGCGTAGTCAACTGTAACGCTATTCGAGATGAGATTAACAACAACATCCCTCACCCAGGACTTCTTCTTTAGTCCTATCACGATGTTATTGGCGCAAGCAGCACATGTCATACCACCAATAGCCAACGATGCTCGAAATGTCTGAGGAACTGAATCGATGGAATCAACGACTACCAAAGGTTCCATTCTTTTGCCGGAACTTTCTGTGGTACCATCGTTCCTACCATCACTTGTATTATTATATGGCGGCTCTGAAAGTATACTTGATTGTCCCAAATTCTTTGAAACATTTTGTTGATTCGCTCCCGTGGCGTCCTGGCGACAAATTTCACAATTCTCCAAGTGCCGTTCATAGTTCGAATCAAAGTATGACGATGAAAATTGTCTTCGGGGTCTTCTGGTAGCTGACCATTTTTGAAGCACTTGGTCTAGGTAACCTGTATCGGTGTCATGTTGTATATGCGATCTTGCAAGACTACCGTACTCCTCAGACGTAACATCGCACACTTCGAATCCAGCAGATTGCAACGCCTTCCGAATAACTTTAGTTGATAGACTTTTATCGTGTTGGACAGTCACCCATGAAGACATGAGAGATGGAGTAACATCTTTTGGCCGAGGACTTAATGCGTAAAGGGACTTTTGAATATTTGAAACACACGAGGGACAATGAAGATTTGATAATAGATAGGATGTTGTGATCAATACTGAATTTTGAGTTGAGATATTCTCCATCTTCTCACCAGAATTGATATTGTTGTTTGTTGTTGTCGGACAGGTCGTGGACGTCATGTCTTCTTTTAAAGCCATACTTACTTAACCTTATAAGTTTTGTGGAAAGCGACTTCTACTAAAAGTCAAGATTGTAGAAACTTTATTCCAAATTCGAAGGAACTAGATATCCCACGGTATTGTATAGTAAGTTTGTATGACTGTTGTCAAGGTGGCGAGCCTCCGCACAAAAAGCGCAAACCGCAAAAAACTCTCAAAACAGCACAAAGCGCGCAAAGGGATAAATGTGAATGGGTTATATTCATTAAGGAATGCCACTCCTTATTGGACTATGTTTCTTATATGATTAAGAATGAGATTCTAAGCTGTGTAGGTATGTATATTAATAAGTTTGAGCATAAGATATAGCAACGTCAATGAATGACCAGTCAGTTTTTTTTATTGTCTAGTAGAAGGTAGATGCGTTCTGAATCGATTCACAGAAAATATCTTTTGGATGACTAATCCTTTTCCCGAACAGCCGATGAGACACCGCACCGCATTACTCAAAGCGCTGAGATTTCATACTAGGTAGTTCCAAAACCTACGATATATCTTTCCATACCTACCTACCTACATGATTTAATTTCTACACTCAATTCACTTCAGAGTTGAAAATGATTTGATATCTAATCGTCTTTTCTTCCCTGACAGAGAACGAGAGACATGTCGATAAGACCACTGATAAGCCCTCAAAACAAAAACCGACTCGGTGACGATTTGCTCAGATGTATAGAAGTCGCTTGTAGTCAAGATACGCTTTTCTAGAAGCTTCTCGCGGTTTTTAATTATAGCTTTCACCCACTTGCCTATACGAGTGGTTGGTATGATGCTTGCCGTCTTTCATGGTCAACGGGCTTCGCTTACCTGTATCCTGAGCAGCATCAATCAAAGAAAACTTTGAGTTTCAGCTCACAGAAGAGGCAAGCACGTAGGAGCCATCTCCCTCTTTGTGGATCATGAAGGTATAGTTGGCCATGAAGTATCCTGGAAGGAAGAACGAACAAGGAACACGGCTGGCACGAATGTGCTCCTCGATATCGGCCTTTTCATCAAAGTGCTTGACTTCCTTCAATCTACCATTAGTAGCCTTGCTGGCATTTAGCAGAGATGAATAGATGAGATGAGAAATGCAGGTTACTTTAGCTGCGTCTGCGACGGTGGTGCCTTGGGATCGCTCGACGCCTGGGGTGGCGGTCTCCCAGTAATTTGTTACAAGGAAGTCGGAGTGTGCGCCTTTGAGCGCCTCTGCGACTGAAAACTTCGAATTCAAGTCGGCCTGGGTAAAGGGTAAGTAAGTTCCTCGACGGATTAAGAGTCCACTAGTACTTACAGTCACCATTTGGACACCCTGCTTGGCAAAGGCCGTCACAGGTGATTCCACATATTTGGAACCTATCAGCGGAGTTAGTGAAACAATATAGTGCTTCCGGACAGGTGAGTTCTTGAGAGCGACTTGACTATAGCTAAGTTTTACTGTATGGATGTAAACTTCGCTTCGGTATGTCTGCTAATTAGGCGAAAAAGCTGCCCTGCTCGGATAATCGGTCTTTACTTAACCTTAAGCCCGGAGGAAAATTACTAATAACTCTCCACAAATATAAACTTCACTCTAGTAACTCTAGTATATCTCCTAATCAGACAAAAGAACCGCTCGAATAATCGGTTTTTACTTAAGCCCGGAGGAAATTTAAGAATTCAGGATCTTCTTTGACTTGGCCATATAATTAAGTTTGAGTTACTAGTAGCCCTGCAGCTGAATTAATGATAAAGTAGGTATCACTACAGCTTCAGCTTTCCACCACTGTATAATCGGACCGGACACTAGATAGATGCGATTTGTTTATAACAGTAGTTTCTTAACAAATTACATTGCTTGGAGGGCTCGCTCTCCATTACTGAGCGAAAATCTAACTTCCACCTAGCGTACCGGGCCGGGCACTTGCGATTATTGTGAACCTAACAATTGCGTAGCCCCAGACTTTGCCACTTTGAGACCAATGTCGGAATTGCCTCCTCGCTTCGAAAACAGTGTGACAGCTTGAACACCACCTGCCAAATTAATTGAAAGTATGGAGACGTATGACGTTACGGATAATTTAGTCCACGCCAGGGGTACTTTTCTTTTGCTAACATATAGTCGTACTCTTCACACCCGCGTTATGAGTTCTATTACTTACACCGACATCGAATTCGAAATACTTAAACTTTATCACTGACCTCATCCCAACTCCACACAGAGTCAAACTTTATCACTGATCGTCAATACGCTATGGCATCGAAAAGAATAATTCTTGTTACTGGTCAGTGAGATCTATTTGCCTGTAGGAGTATAATAAATCTATCTGTTGAAGGACCAGAATATCTTGAGCCTAGATATGCGCTGACCCAATAGTAGGAGCCAACACGGGCATTGGTTTTGACACCACCTACGCGCTCGCCAGCACAAGTCCTAACAACCACATCATTCTCGCCGCCCGCAGCGCTGAGAAGGGTAGCAAAGCCCTCGCCGAGATTGAAGCTCGCAAACCGGCGGGGACGATCAGCCTGATCGAGCTCGACATCACAAAGGACGAATCTATCGCAGCTGCTGTGGCCAAGATCACCGCCGATTTCGGTGTGCTCGATGTACTCGTGAACAACGCTGGGGTTATCCCTCAAGATGCTATCGATCGCCGTTCCGCTTATATCACGACTCTTAACACCAATTCTGTCAGTCCCCTTCTCTTGACTGAAGCTATGGTGCCGCTTCTCCAGAAATCAAAGGACCCTCGGATTATTAACGTTAGCTCATGTTTGGGCTCCGTTTCTGAGAGGCTAAACCCCGATTTTCAGTATTATGGCGCGACGGAAGAGGGATATCGTATGTCCAAGGCGGCACTGAACATGGCGACTGTGTGCATGTCTGTGAATTACAAGAGCTGGGGGGCGAAGGTCTGGGCTTTCTGTCCGGGGTATGTTGTCACAAACTTGACCGGCGAGAAGGACAGACAAAACAGGATAAACCAGGGAGCTGAAAGCTCGGAGACTAGTGCCGCTGGGATTGTCGAAATCGTCGAGGGCAAGAGGGACGGGCAGCCTGATGAATTTTTGGCAAAATATGGCAAAACCTGGAATTGGTAGGCATACCTAGTAGATGTGCTTGATCCTTAATGAGAAGGGACAGAGGGCTTGAAATGTTAGATTTGTAACAGAACGGCCTTAACATTTATTTTTGTTATAGTAGAAGTAGGTTTCTTCTCTTATACTTTGTAAATTTTATAGATAAACTATTAGAAAATCCATAAGAAGATTATTTATCTAATATTGTCCTTCAAAAAGCTAGTAATAAATGCTAAGTATATAACCACAATATACTATTAAATAATAGGCCTTTTAATATTAAAAATTAACAATCCCCTAAGGAGTTTATAAACTCTAAACAAAGAAATTGAAAGTTTCTTTGCTATGAGAAACAATTCCTCTTTTGACTGATTTATTCTTGTGTGAGATGGTTAGTATGTGGAAGCAGATAGTGTATTGCTTCGAGCCGCAGCCAGGTTTTTTATTGACTTTCAGAGTTGCAGCTCGCTTTAGTTTGTCGTTATTATCTCACAACAGCTCCCTATAATCTTGATAAGGAGGATACAGATGACGTAGCACCTACGGCAGTAGGTTCTGAATGTCAATATTCTATTCTATCTAAAGAGCTAGTCAATTACTAAAAGAAGCAATCCTTATATACTACGAAGCTAGCCCCTTCGCTTAATACTAGAGTAGTATGATGACTTAAGGTCATTCACCTATATTCATATAATAATATTAATATTAGTAATAATTATAATATTAGTAAAAAATATATCACATTAATTATCAAATTATTAACATTTATTTGAATGGTTGTTGAAAATATAATCACAAAATTTCCTATATTGTTACTATTCAATGCGCAATATAAATCAGCGTTGTCAATCAGCGATGTGATCAGGTGATAACCTGCCACTATCACTACCTCCTATTCCAGTACCTGATCTAAACCCAGTCTATACTGCGAAGTAAAAGGCCCGTGGCCGCCACCTTGACTAAAGCCTCCTATTATTCCCATTGTTGAACATGAAACACCGACGACACGATAACCTTCTGCACTGGCGCCGTTGTATGTAAGTCAGCATAGCCAACTCTAACACCAATATGAACTACAGGTCCAATGTAAGAGGGACTGCTGTAGTTGAAGAAGTCAATATTATCAAGATTACGCATCCATAAGCGTAGCGAGCCTGCTTCTGCCGATCTTCCCAGGTAATAATCTCCGGCATTCTTGATAGTGAGCCGTATATATTGCTCTGTACCAACCGAACACTCGTAATAACATCTTCGGCAGTACTAATATCAAGGGCATATGATACAAGGTTTCCTAAAGTACAAGAGCCCTAAGGCCCGAAGAATGGGCTGCAGGAGACATGATATTAACCGGATCGGCTTCGCTTGATGAATGCAGCAGCTTGAAGAATATCGTACTAAGGATTTGTTTGAACCGCACCCTAGTATCCCAGATCTGTGGTGTTGGCGTGCTCGGTCAGACGATATTATTGTTTTCCTGAATGGCGAAAAGACAAACCCCATTTAGATGGAACAACATATCACGGCTAGCAACCCTGAAGTAAGCGGCGCACTTGGCATCGGAGCCCAAAAGCTCCAGGCCGCTCTCCTGATTGAGCCATTTTCGGATTTACCTCTTACAACAGCAGCCCTGTGGTGGCAAAGTTAATATCTATGTACGAATAAAATGTCAGTATAAATTCCTATATAATTATTTGATATATACATTATTGAATTCAAACTTTTTTCATCTCTAACGAAACACATTTTTCGTTATCAACGAATATTTCTAGTTCAAAATGATAACCGTTTATTATTGACATTTTAATAATAGAAAAAAAGAAAATAAAGGCTTTTCAGCTGAAGGACCTTTATGATTTTTAGAATGAGTGGATGGAAGGGTATGTGTATAGGAGTTAGGAGGAGAAGGGGAGCGAGTGGGGGAGCGAGTGTAGATATTAGAGGGCGGGAAAAGGTATTAGCCGAAAGTCTAAAGGGGAGGGGGTTTCACACTTTGCTATTTATTTTCAATTTGTTCTTTAAGCAGAAGCTTTACTATTATATTATACAGTATAGAATGTAATATTATTTAAACAAGAATACAAATCAATTTTAATCTATATAGTTATAATTGATAATCGATTATTAATCGATTTCAATACAAGTAAGCTTTTTTACTTGCAAATAGTTTTAGACTAAAACTTTCGAAAATCAAGAAATTTCGAAAAATCGAAAATTTCCGAAAATTTCTCTAATTTCCCTTAAAGTAAAATTTTCTAATCATATATATATATAAAAGTTAATTACATTAATACTGTATGACTTATTTTTTCAATACAATATTAAAGATTAAATCTTTTATTATACTTGATGAAATAATGCTTTCGTCAACCACGGATTCTGCCACCACAGGGCAGAACAGGCTGCTCTTATAGAGCGAATATGGCCGAGTATTGAAGAAAGTAACCGTACTGCTCCCGCTCATGCACGTGTTGAGAAATCTTTCGTTCTCGTCATCCCGATGGACCGCCGCCTAATTCGCGCTCCCAAGGGAACTTTTATGCGTGCTGCTAATATCAGCCAGTACACCGAAGAAATCGAGAAAATTTACAAAAATGCAGATGTTTTGTCGATTAACAACGATGATTTGACTGGCGATACAAGGCAACATGTCGCTCCAACAGGCCTTGACGGGACTACGCGTCTTGTCCGCCAACAAATCCTTGCTGCAACAGGTTGGCCAAGTCTCGACAATGATGTCAATCTCTTCGATCGTGGTATAGATTCACTCCAAGGTCTCCAGCTTACGCGTACTTTACGACGTATCTTTCACCATCCTGGTTTTGCCCCTTCGACTGTCTACCAAAATCCCACCGTATCCCACTGGTAGCCGCCATTCTTACACCTAACGAAACTGTTCAAATTGAACGGGGGTCTATGGAAGGTTTACTTGCTACATACCGCAAACTCATACATCATATACCAGTATCTAAACAGACAGCTGAGCATCCCAAGCAGGCATCTGAGAAAGTCAATGTCCTTTTGACCGGGTCTACAGGCATCGTAGGTATCATTTATTGCAAGCACTACTTAGCCGCGATAGAAACGCACACGTATTTTGCTTGGATCGTGGCAAAGACGGCGGGAGAGACACACAATGCAAGAATTTTGTTGCAGCTGGAATCCCTACAAGCCAACTTGACAAACGTGTCACTTTTATCAAAGTCAATGTCGAGTCACAATTCCTAGGTCTAGATAGTACTTTATACGACTCGCTCCGTTCAGAGGTCAATCTCATTTTCCATACAGCATGGCCCGTCAATTTTAACCTGCCACTATCTGCGTTCCGTCCACAGCTTGCCGCGTTGGTGAACTTGTTCACTCTAGCTGCTTCTGCTGCTTCCAATACAGTACGGTTCATTTTCATATCATCAATAGCCGCTGTGGAGGGACATAGACACGGTCCAGCTCCCGAGAAAATCCTCGAAAGCCTCGAAGCACCTGCACCTTTTGGCTACGGCCGCGCCAAATTCCCTGCAGAGCTGCTTGTCGACGCTGGTGGTCGGCATCCCGGAAACAAAGTACCTACGACTGTGATCCGCGTGGGTCAGGTCGCAGGTTCTGTGCACAACCCTGGTATATGGAATCCACGGGAGTAGCTACCAAGTTTAGTGCTCAGTTCCCTGCACTTTGAACATATCTCCGATAGCCTTGGTCCAGGATTTGACAATGTCGATTTTGTGCCTGTGGACTTGTTGAGCCATATACTAGTCGTCCTAGCTACGGCTGCAACGGCAGAACAGCCTATAACGCTGCGACGGTGTTCAATCTGCGGAATCCGCAGCTGGTATCTTGGAGCAAGTTGTTGCCTGTTATTGTGGCAATACAGCCGCTTCAAATAGTGTCGCCTGCGACATGGCTGGCTAGTTTGTGAGCGAGCAGCGAGGCAGACTATGAGGATATGGCGGCGAACCCGGCTGTTAAATTACTTTATTTCTTTGAAGGCTTGTGGGCGATACACGCAAATACTGAGAAAGTGCCAATGCAGCCTATGGTGGTGGAGAAGGCTCTCGAAGCAAGCCCTACCATGCGAAAGCTAGATGCTGTTAAAGTGGAACGGATGCATAAATGGGTTGAAGAATGGGTGGCCGCGAGGAAGTGATTATACTGCATTACATTCAAATCACTGTTTCAATTAATGCACAAGATTGAGTTACTCAAATTCGGCCTGTCGTATAGATGGATCCATGGATCCCTTTAATAATAATAAATCCGAGAGGTGGGTGCACAAGCCACATTCACCAGCCACTCCGATCGAATTATTTCGGCCGAAAATTATTTTTATAGGAACTACCTCCAAGTCAATGTTCTCTGTGCTAGAATCAAATGAGGCTCTTACTACCGATTCGGGTTTTGAATATATGGCGCTCTTACATGACTTTCAAGTTTGACTAGAGATTTCATGCATGAAAATGCTTATAATGCGTTCATACTTGAGAATTTGTGCTGAAGTATTTGCTCATTGATGCTGATACCTACCTCCTATCAGAGTAAGCCGTCTCGCTTGTACCTGACGATGCTGTTCTATGCCCGTTACCAAGTGGGGGAGAGGTCGACCGCTGGCTCAAAATAGAACGATGGTTTTGGTTTTATTGGCTATTATGCCCGTAAAGTCCGTTGAGAAATACTATATCATCTTCGCTCGTTCACTTTATACTAGACAAACAAACAAGATTATACAGAAAAGGTTATACTTCTCTATCTCATTCCGTACCTTTAATACAGAATCGAGATGCCTACTCCAACAAGTGCAATTAAGGTTGTCTTTGGGTCAATGACCATCGGTAGACCAGGTATATATCTTCCCCTTTGAACTCCTTCAACTCAAGCTCATCATTCTCTTCTTAGGTGATGGAATCCGTATCACAACCGTTGAAGGCGCCCAGAAAATTTTCGATGTATTCCAAGCACATGATCATTTAGAGGTCGACTCTGCTCGTACCTATGGCGGCGGTTCGACCGAAGAAAGACTCGCAGAAATAGATTGGCAATCACGTGGCCTCATTATGCAAACCAAGCTCTATCCCACCAAGGGAGCAATGTCATGGCTCACAAAAGATTCATACTCTCTCTCTGCTGCCGATGTCCGTCGTGGTTTCGAAGACAGTATGAAAGCGCTGAACACAGATCGTATAGAGATGTTCTATCTCCACGGTCCCGACCGCAGCACCCCCCTCGAAGATACCCTTAGTGAAGTCAACAAACTCCACCAAGAAGGAAGATTCGAGCGTTTTGGAATTTCCAACTTTACTTCCTGGGAAGTAGCTCGAATCTATGACATTGCCGAAAAAAACGGCTGGGTAAAACCATCTGTCTACCAGGGTCTTTACAACGCCTTCAATCGTTCTGTAGAAGCAGAACTTATTTCCTGTCTCCGCTTTTACAACATGTCTCTCTACGCATTCCAACCACTAGCCGGCGGTTTCCTCACCTCGAAATACCATCGCGATCAAATCGAATACGAAGCTGGTTCCCGCTTCGATCCTTCCAAGCCACAAGGACAATTGCATCACGGTCGCTACATTAATGATCGAAATCTCTACGCATTGGAGGATATTCTTCGACCTGTGATCAAGAAACATGGACTTACCGAGGCGGAATGTGGATTGAGGTGGATGGCGCATCACTCTTCCATGAAGAAGGAATTGAATGATGCTGTGATTGTGGGAGCTAGTAGTCCCGAGCAGTTGGAGCAAAATTTGAAGGATTTGGAGAAGGGAGAATTGCCGGAAGAGGTAGTAGAGGCGTTGGAGAAGTGCTGGAAACACATCTCCGGAGTTTACAAGTATTTTCATTAGAGGATTATGGGGTATGGCAAGCGCTTGAAATTCCACTCGAATGCCGATGTATAGAATTGTAGAGACCGAACAAACAACCAGGAAAATTTAATATCTGAATGAATCTGAGATAATAGTTGTGGTTTAAAATTTCTCGGCTAAATGTGAATAATTTGCAGGTTTTTCTCTCCAAGTCAATATTTGTCTCAATTTTCAATTCATGGACTTTATTGATATCACTTTGTCGGTGTATGATCAAAGTATGGAGTTGTCCCGACGCCCACATGAGTTAGATGTATGAATATTGAATCTTAGGAGTATGATGTTTGAATTTCAAGGATTTAATCGGGGTTCTTCTGAGGCATCAAACGATGCCGAAGGTATTTACCGCGTTACATTGAAATCTCGTTCGAGATATTCAGTTTTTGATATCTTGGCATGTACTCATCAACAGAATATAGAAAGCGACAAACATACCTGAGTCGACCGGCATCAATTGATCTAGACTTCATCATTAATAAACTTAATCGAAAGAGAAGATAACCCCCATTATCCAAAATTATAGATAACATCCGTTTACAAATGCAGTGTAACATATGGGGTAGACGGGATCCACCAAGTTTCCCGAACACCCACACGGAAAACTTGTCATCGTGCGGAGCTTAGTTTTCCGTGCCCCGCATCAAGTTTTCCGAGATATCGAGCATCCAGCTTGTAAAGAGCGCGAAGGAAATAGATTGTCAATCGAATCACACCACCGTGGGACTTATTGCAGCTGTTATCGTTGCTATCGTAAGTTCTGGGCGATACGAATGTGTCATGTGAAAACCTTCTGATAGGTGATGCGAGATGAATAGGAGAAAATATGCGATGATTACTTTACTATATAAGAGACGCTGTTTCCCGTGTGAATGGTATACAATTCTGGTTTTCTCATGATTTATCCAAATTGAACACTCAAATTTCATCTTCTATACTCACAACTTACGAATTACTACGATAGAGATGTCGCAATCTCAAGCCTCTACTATGCTAGCATCTACCTCAAAAAGTGTACCTCTTTACCAAAACGTTGATGGTAAAGCAATGAGAGAAAACGCAAACTCATTTCTCATAAGATATGGAGGAAACTTCTCATCTGAAATCATTGTAGGAGCAGAAGGTGTTTACATCTACACTGCCGATGGTAGAAAGATACTAGATTTTACTTCCGGACAAATGAGTTGTCTCATTGGCCATGGACATCCTGAAATTGTTGAGGCAATCACTGCACATGCTGCAAAACTGGATCATTTACTCAGTGGCATGCTAAGCCCGCCAGTGGTAGAACTCGCACAAAAGTTGACGTCTTTGACACCACCCGGACTTGATCGTGCTATGTTTCTCAATACTGGAGCTGAGTCAAATGAAGCTGCTATCAAAATGGCTAAATTGTATACTGGAAAGTATGAGATAGTTGGTTTGGGGGCGAGTTGGCATGGAATGACGGGAAGTGCGACTGCATCAACCTACCACTCTGGGAGAACGGGTTATGGCCCTTGCGTAGGTCCACTGCTGTATGAATTTACATAGAATGACAATACTAACTGCAAAAAGATGCCAGGAAACCTCGTTCTACCATCTCCAAACGCATATCGTTCGATTTTCCGCCATGCAGATGGCTCATATGACTGGGAAACAGAGTTGAATTATGGGTGGAATTTGATCGATCAACAATCGACGGGGTCATTAGCCGCAGTAATTCTCGAACCTATCCTCAGTTCCGGAGGTATGCATGTCTTGCCAAAAGGATATATGAAAGCGATGAAGAAACACTGCGAAAACCGCGGCATGCTTCTTATTGTCGACGAGGCACAAACGGCAATTGGTAGATGCGGTTCTATGTTTGCAATTGAGCACGATGAATGCACCCCCGATATTTTGACTCTCAGCAAGACATTGGGCAATGGACTTCCACTTGCAGCCGTTGTCACCTCGGCGGAAATTGAAGAAAATTGCTTCGATCGCGGTTATCTTTTCTACACAACTCATGTAAATGACCCGTTACCTGCTGCTGTGGGAGCCAAGGTTCTGGATATTGTAGTCCGAGATAATCTTGTCGAGCGCTCTCGCGTAGCAGGCTTGAAGTTGAACGCTGAGTTGAAAATATTACAGGAAAAGTATGGTTGTATTGGAGACGTTCGCGGTAGAGGTTTAATGGCAGGAGTGGAAATTGTAAAGGATCGAGCTACTAAAGAGCCAGCGCCGGAACTGGGAGCAGCATTGACAGAGAAACTAAGTGAACTCGGTTTATCTGCAAATCTATCGACAATGAAGTCGTTTGGTGGGGTGTTTCGTATAGCTCCTCCTATCACTATTACTGATGAAGAGTTGATGGCTGGACTTAGAATATTTGAGGAGGCGTTGAGGATTACTCCTGATACAATGCCGATTGATTAGATATAAGAGACCGACAGTACCTCTTCAAACTGCAAAACTCGTTACTTAATTCAAGCAAGCCTAATTACTCCAAATCTTTTGAAACATGTTGAATGCCCGGGCGCAAACGTTATGGAAATGCCTGTCCTGTCAATATAAATGAAGTGCACAGTCCAAGTCAATCCACATCCGATATTGTACCGATTCCTCTAACCTTGTGTCACTTCGGAAAACTGAACCATCCCACCATTTTTGATATCTAGACACAAATTCCTTCGGACAACTGGTAACACTAACCATTTTGGGTGATCAACCGTGTTTTTACGAGTGGTTTACAGCAATAAGATTCATTACACCAATGAATCCTCCCTCCACGTTGAATGAATCCCGACCATATCGGTCCCACAAAATTCCAGCCTGCGATCGATGTCGAAAGCGTAAGTTAAGATGTGAAGCCGACTTATCAAATGGTCCATGTCGTATTTGTCGGGAGCAAGGTGCCGATTGTGTTAGGTCGGAAGCCTCCAGAACGAAGAAACACACCACCCTAAACACAAATAGCATAGAAGTGCCTTCAGTGCGTTCATTGAAACGTCCCAGAATCCTTGATCCAAGCCCTTCTACTTCGCTAAGACTTGAAAACCGTTTCCCAGGAGATAGTACCGCGGAGAAATCTGGTCTTCAAAGTCCCGACTATAGTCGACAGGAAAGGCCAAGTGTCAACGACAAATCTTCTATGATTATCGGTCCCATCATTGCAGAGGATGTCCAGTTACTGGAGCAATATATGGAATCTCAAGCTCGCCCTGACAGATCTAACAGGGGACGCTTATATGACACTGTATCGGACAATCCAAAAGACCCAGTGATTTATCTCAGCGTTTCTCGACGAAGAGAAGGGCTCTCTTCAAGTGAGCGAGCAGGTGAAAAACAGAAGGAAATTTTGGAACAAATCCTAGGGCCAAATGTCAGAGAAGTTGTTAATCTGTATGGTCCATGCCAATATCGCATTGCGTATGCTGAACACTTCTCAGTTACTTTCGCCATATTCATCCTAGCTTTCCTATCATTGACGAGCATAATTTCAACCAATTATACTCCAAGGGCGATAAAAGCTTATCACCCGCACTTATTTGTGATATATTAGCTTCATCTTTGGTATACTGGAGGCATTCCCCAAACCTCAAACGATTTCCGGTTCCAGACCAGCGATATTGCTGGAATCTGGCCGTAGAATCACTTCAAGGAGATTTTCTCGCACCAGGTCTCTCGACCCTTTATGCAGCGCTCCTTGACTTGTCTGGGCGACCTGTTGTCTCGATTACAGGCAATACGCTTACTAGTGGAAGATCTGTTGCTCTCGCTCATAGTCTAGGGTTAAATCGTGATCCTAGCAGATGGAGAATATCCGATCATGGAAAGAGTCTACGAACTCGTCTTTGGTGGGGTGTTTTAATCCATGATCGCTGGTGAGTATCATGTGTCATATTACAAATGATCACAATTTCCTACTAAAACAATCCTCTAGGTCGAGCTTCGCCCATGGTGTACCTGCGCACATCCGAAGAAATGAATATGATGTCCCGCTGCCTACACTCGAGGGACTTCTCACAGAAGGCAATCACAAAACTTCACGCATTCGCCCAGCAGAATGCTTCATCTTACTCTGCACGCTGACCGAAGTTCTTGGCGATATCCTTCCACTCCTGTATGATCGCCGATGCAGACCAATCACCGAAACCAACAAACTCTTGCGGCAACTCGAAACCAATCTTGACGAATGGGAAGAGTCTCTTCCACAATGGGCGACAAATGAATCTAACGCCGAGCAAGTCTCGGGTCTCAGCAGCCTACGGCTCGGATTTCTCTCGGTCAAAATGCTACTTTGCCGTATAGCCTTTCATGCAAGTTCACTATCCACACTTACATAAAGCTGAATACTAATCACCACACAGAGTACAACGCATTCTCCCGAGCCATGTCTAAAAGAAGTCAAAACATACCACCAAGCAATGCTACGCGAGTGCGCAAGAGCAATAACAACCTTCCTCTCTTCTCTAACAGAACAGAATCTCCACGAATTCTGGATGCCATGTATGTCGTACTCTCCATCTCACTGTACCAATAACTAAACCCATGGAAGATAGCGCATACCACATCTGTTCCGCAACCATCATCCTCCTTCGCTGCGCCATCGATACCACTGATATCGAAACCGCCGAGTCGTGCAAATCTAGTCTATTCCAAGTAAAGCAATGGTTAGATTGGGCACACACTTCTCATCATTGGGATCTCGCTGAAATATGTCTCGCGCAATGCGCAGAACCGATTGAAAGATTGAACGTGTCATCGCGTGCAACGGCAACGAATGTTCGAGAAAATAGTACTGAACAGCCGGGCTTGGGAGTGGTAGGTGAAAGTATAGGGGATCCCACAAATGTACCCTTTCTTGCGGATACCGAGAGCTTGATGAATGGACTTGAGTATCCATTTGTTGACCTGTGGGATATGTTTGAGCAGGAATATTGATAAAGATTAGGCCATATGCCTCAAAACAAAATCAATCTGCATGACATTCAATACATCCATCATTATATCAATATGTTCCGTTAGTTAGTTCTTCATTAGGTTCACTCATTTCAATCAGCAAATTTAAGGGACAGAAAGAATATGTAATACAGGTTTGTATTAAGTCCCTGCCAAGGCTACATACATACTTGTTAAAGTTGCAATATTGCACCTCCAGAAAACTAAAATACCAGCCGATGTTTCTATCAAGATTATTCGTATCGCGTAAAGCAATAACTTCTAGGTAGAATGGGTATGAGTCGTAAAGTTACTTTTGAAAATTTCCCAACTCCATGAACTCCAACCAATGCTCCCCCAACCATATGCAACCATTTCAAAATCATCCAACGGAAGAAATTGTCAAGTCATCAAGTTTTAATTTAAAGACTCAACTCAACTGCCTTGCTAGACTTGATCTGGCTAGACCATTCTGCAAGAGCAGCTTCAACCTCTCCACCAGGTCCACAGTACTTCTCAACCGAGTGTGCACTACGGCCAATAAAGTTCTTTGGGTCCATCATGTTGTCAAGATCAGCCCAGACTGGTTCAAAGTACTTGGTGGCCTTGATACGGTCGATCAAGTCGTTCTTACCACCTTGCTTCTTGACAACGTCAGAAGCTTGGTGAGAAAGGACACGGATCTCTTCATGAGCCTCTTGTCTTGATCCTCCATTGGCAACAATTCTCATGATGATGACTTCTGTAGCCATGAAAGGCAATTCCTCCATGACACGAGAGTGGATACGGTTTGGGTAAACAACGAAGCCAGAGACAACGTTATCCATAGCCATGCAGACAGCGTCAGCTGAGAGGAACATCTCGGGGATGGTGATACGGCGGATGGCAGAGTCATCGAGAGTTCTCTCAAACCATTGAGCAGCGTAGGTATCGTTGGCGTTCTTGTTGAGGTTGGCAAGATGACGACCAAGAGCTGCAATACGCTCGGATCTCATTGGGTTGCGTTTGTAAGCCATGGCTGATGAACCAATTTGATCCTTCTCAAATGGCTCTTCCAACTCCTTCAAGTTGGCAAGATGACGAATGTCACTTGAGATTCTCTGGGCAGTAGCACCAAAGCTGGAAAGAGCATTGGCAATTCTGAGATCAACCTTGCGGGAATAGGTTTGAGTGCTGATAGCGTAACAGCTTGGGAAGCCAGCCTTCTCGCAAAGGATTTCATTGAGCTGGTCGATCTTGGCACCATCGCCCTTGAAGATCTCCATGAAACTGGCTTGTGTACCAGTTGTACCTTGGGCACCACGGTAACCTATTTTCAGAAAGAATCAGCAAATGTACAAAGAGATGAGAGCAAATCAAGCTCAAGTTGGAGAAATATCAGAAAGACTTACGAAGATCAGCTCTAACTCTCTTGATGTCCTCCAAATCCATGAGAAGATCTTGAACCCATTGAGATGCACGACGACCAACAGTGATCAATTGAGCAGGTTGGAAATGAGTGTAGCCCAGGGTAGGTAAATCCTTGAACTCAAGAGCAAATTGAGACAACTTGTGAATGATAGTGGCCAATTTTGGAAGGATCAAATCGAGAGCATCACGCTGGAAGATGAGATCGGCATTGTCGGTGCAGTAGCAGGAAGTGGCACCATAGTGAATGATACCAGCAGCCTTTGGAGCAACTTGGCCAAATGCGTGAACATGTGCCATACTAAGTATAAGGAGTTAGCAAATTCATCTTTCAAATCGAAGAAGTGAGGATTTGGAGAACTTACACATCATGACGACGCTTCTTCTCCTCCTCAGCAGCAACCTCGAAGTCCTTATCGGTCATGATTCTATTTTCCTTCATTTGTTGAATACCCTCAGCACTGATATCCAAACCCAACTCTTTCTCGGCTTCAGCAAGATCGATCCAAAGGGTTCTCCATGTTGAAGCACGGTTGCGAGCAGAGAAGATCTCCTTCATCTCCTTGCCTGTGAAAGTAAAATGGTTAGCATTGAGTCTTTAAGTATGATTGAACAAATACATTAATTGTCAAATATGAAATTCAACTGAGGGAAGAGAAGAGCGCATTATGAGATGCAGTCAATGGACTCGAGAGGAAGAATACACTTGGGTTTGTGATTTTATCAATCAACTGCTGGGGGAGAGAATCTGATACTTACTTGCATAACGCGAAGTCAAGGGAGTTTGATAGATATCGTTGGCAGACATCTTGAATAGATTATCCCAAAGATCTTGGTATATTCTGAGTGATTTGATGTTTCTGTCTTGTGAAAAGAGGTTTCCAGGAATCGGAGAGGTTGTTGTTAGGAGATAAGAATTGAAAGATTGAAATACGCGGGGCAGACAAAATTAATAAATTTGTGGAGGGGAAAAAATGATGCTGGAGTCACCAGCGGCCGCTTTGTCCCGTTCCGAGACACCAAACTAGTAGTTTTTAGGGCAATTTTTCAACCAGGATGTTAGATTGGATTCGGTGCACGGGCTGAAAAATGCTGTTGAGAGAAATTCTTGTCTAGTGAATGCCCGAAGATCTTCCACTGACCTACCAGTTTCTGTATACAAACAAAGAGTGATAATATATAAGACTACCTGGTAATCATACAGAAAAAGAGGCTGTGTTGACTTTGAGAGGGTTGTTCATCAAGTGAATGATATTATATGATCATTCTGAATCTCAACAAAAAGCCAATACCTGTCAAGGTGCTTCGAGAATGGAATCAAACTCTACATCTACACATGCCCATTGACACACAAGCAGTTCCAAACCTGAATATATTGACTCTAGATTCACTCCAACCTTGTTGACTGAAAGTACATCAAGCCTTCCCATACCTACCTATTGAGTATTGACCCAAAAGAATACCTCACAGCACTGGTGATATAGTCCTTCCGTCCGACTACGGAGCGTTTCAACATCTCGTCCTCATTATCGTTAAAAAGTTCCTCTCCCCTATTTATGCCGACAAAGAGCGAACTATCGAGTGATGACCATAAATAAATCCGAATATGATTGGTCAATGGTTTTGTTGATGTCGTGATTTTCTTGATCTGCAACTGGTGGAAAATCTCCACAATATTGATGTTGAGCTATTTCTCCATTTCACATGGCTTTAGAAAATATCTGATCATAATTCTTCGCCTTGTTGACTTTGAAGAGTAACCAGAAGTGAATTGTTCACAACGACCACAGAGAAACTTTTCTTTCCTTCCGTTGAGGTCTTTAATTTGCATGTCAGTGGACAATAAGATCCTTCTTGAGCAGATCAGCACCCTTGTCTGGTGGAGATTTGCATGCTTTCAAGGAGCCTGCATAGTGCCAGGTGAATGATATCTGTGTGTTGAGTGACACTACTCATGTATCTATAGTCCAGATTCACTTCTGGGCTTATAAAAAGTCACAAGGGACAGAACAGAGGTCCAAAAGATGGATCGCTGCTTCCAAAGTACAATTTGCACAAATGAACATAAAAAACTTGCATGATTGAATTGCCCTTCACACCAAACAATCATTAAGAAGTCTGGTGAGATTTGTGAAAGACTTGTGTGTGAAAACTGGTTATCCAGACCTCTAGAAGAGAAGGAGTAATTGTTAGGAAGCATGGAAAGAACGAGTGTGCCCCGTCACATATTTTGGATATCAACTGTGAAGTACCTTTTTGACGCAAAGACAAGTATCTTTGATGGCAGGATAGTATTCAAAACATGATGCCCAACAATTGGCTTGAACCAAAATGAATCTTAACTGAATGAAAACCCATGATTTCTACAGATCAATAAATCAAATTCATACTACTGTTGAAGAGGTGGCTCCTTCTTGATGTGTTACTCTTTGTAATCGTTCCAGAAGTCCAGAAACCCATTTAGAAGGAGTCCCTCAAACAGAGAAGAAAGCAAGAGAAAGAACGCTCCGAACGCTGAATTTTCTGTTTCTCAATGAAAGTAAGAGCCACGGTAGTCATTCTTTCCAAATTTGAATATTCCAAAGTGTTCAGGAAGGCATAAAGCTCTCATTTCCTCAAAACTCTAGAGATACTGTATCCATTTCCCACATCAAGCCGCAAAAGTTGTGACTCCGACGATGAACTGGATCACAGCCACGATACAAAACCCCACAATCTTCACATCTCATTTGGTTCTTTGCCATCAATACATTTTGACTGCAAGAGAAATCTTGTGCTCATCTTCATAAAATCGAACTAACTACTCCCTCCATTCAAAATTTATTTCGAGTAGAGGAATAAATTTTCAGCTTCTAATGGTTGATTTTCTGCTTTCCTTGTAGTGGTAAGTGAAGTGGTATTCAAGTCCGTCCATTATTTTCTAGAGGCGGCTTGGCAGGTACTCCAATATGGCCGATTCAATGATTCAAGGTAGGTCACAAGATTTCATTTCATGTATTGATTAAGATTATTCTCAAGATACAGAAGATATTTATTATCAAGTCTCCCAGTGGCACCGACTCTCCAGACTCCCATGACAAATCCTTGCCATTGTATAACCTTCCCTAAATGAAAGTTCTGCATATCTTTTGAAATCCCTTTTGCTGTTATCCATTGTTGTCCGTATATTTATTCAAGAGGTAGAAGAAACCATTATTATCAGCTCTCTACCACGTCAACCAGTTTTTATAGAACCCTCTCCGCGATGTTAGAGGTTGTCGAAAATTGTCGATAAGATACCGAAGAAGTTTGAAACGTTGCCATACAAAGAAATATGTGATATCTCCAATACCATCGCTTCATCGCCGTAAACTGACATCAAGGTGTATGCCGGGTCTGAGGAAGGATCTTAGAAGATGTCGACTCATACAAATGGTAGTAGATTAAGAACGGCCAAAGGAGTGAAGGCATCAGCGATTCTAGATCTGGGCACTTGGACTCGCGGGTTAGGTTTCGGGACGTATTTTTGAGATCCAGGGAAGTGTTCTCTCCATATCTTGTCATCAAGCTTTTGCCCAAGCTCTTTCCAAGTAGTGATTGTGAGTTCCATGCGACAATGTAGATTTGGAATACAGTCTCGCACGTGAACGAAACGAATTAAAAATTCAGTCCGGCACTCGACACAATGTTCAATCTCACTTGTCTCTTCTTTGACTTTCTTCCAGTATAGCCACCACAAACTCTCAGGATATTTGCGGCGTACGTATCTAACTTGATCCCGGCTCGTTGGGCAAATCCGGGGACGAATATGCATCGAATTCGAATAGCATTGAATATGGGCACATATATCGACGCGTAGCCGTATCACTTCCCCACATTTTCCTTGGAAAACCCTATGTTGGCGGACTAATGTAGAACCGCTATTCTTAACGAATGTAATCTCATCCTTCTGGAAACCACAAGATTCACTACCTTCGCGGATAACATTCCAAGACACGTCTCTCTCGACAGTCCAGGGAAAATCATCTCGGTTATAGGGGGCAAAGAAGCAGATGTGGTGATGTAGATCCCGGGCTAGATATGCTGCAGCCATCTCATTGATGTGATATGATCTACTCAACATTTTCCTTTGGTCAACCGAAAGTTTTGAAAGTTTCTGAAGAATCCTGCCGGCGCCTTTTGCGGGGCTCGAACGTTGCAGAGCACAAGACATATCGCAGCAACCATTCAAGGTCATATTCTTAATATCATATTGCATTATCCTTTGAAATAACAAGTTCTCATGGCGTGTTAGATTGACTATGTATTGAGATCCGATGATGCCATAGATTGTTTTGCACGAAATGGAGAATAGCGCGGCCGATGCGACATCCAAGTTGTCAGCAATCTGTTGGATCAATTCTTTAGGGAAATACTCAAACGATGAGTTTGTTAATGCGTTTCGTTTGTGAGCAAAGTGTATTCTTAGAAATCGAACGACGGCGGAACGTATCCTAAAATGATCCATCTTGGTTGGAGCTGGGTGTTGTGGGAATCGATGATGTTGTAAAAGAGACACATTTCAGGAAAAGGTCTGGACAATGTGTGATGTAACTGTTCAGAAGAAGAGTGTCATTACTTAGCCTAGCGCATGTGATTCCCCAGACTTGATTACACATTAGTGCAATGGAGATCTTCAAGTACCGGTAGGTAAATAAATACATCATGTACGCTTCGCTTAGTCATTTTAGAGTAATCTTGCGTGCTTTCCCCCTCTATTATGCGGGGGTAAAAATGATCATTGTCCCTAGGTGGTTAAGGAATAAGGCAGTAAATGAGTTCTTTTATTCTGCAAAGTAACAAACTTTGAGTTCTTCAATAAAAACTCGATGGTTTCTTACACAGTTGCACGTCAAAAAGGTATCCAGTTCAGGTTACCGGACAATACTGAATTTTCGTTTAATTTAAAGCCACACAAAAACCGACACAAAACCGGCACAATTACAGTAGATACGATAGATTTGCTAGTATGAACCCCAACACAGAACTGAAATGTCAAATGTTCTTATTCCTTTCTGAAGGCCGAGGATAATTTCATTTTGGAGCAATATTCGTACGTTGATCGGGAGAATGTGTCGACTTTGTGCAGGATTACTTGTAAACCTCACAGCTATTTTAAGGAATTATGTGCTCTGAGAATTTTATATTCACTCGCATATAGCTTTTTACTTGAATGGAATCATTACGTCTTCACCATCTTGTTAATATCGAGGAAAATGGGTTATCGCGGTCTCGTGATTCAAGACTTCAGTACAATTCTCAAACTGCACTCTTATGTTTGAAAATTAGACGACAGTGTCGATGATTCTATCCTAGCTATATAAGTTGGCAGAATCCAAGGTCAAGATGTGTTTAATTCACTCACATTGATAGTTTATCTCTGTTTTGATCATACGGCAGAGTGAATGTGTCGGCGACCCATAATAATTTATCAAGATGACCGTATCCAACTCTTGAACTATATTTATTGTTCACACTGTGCCCTTTTAAAAGATCACTAAACACCGGTGATCGGGGTGCTGCTCCAGTTTCTTATAGTCGTAACATAACAAACTGCTATTGTCCTAGAAAGAGGTACATTTGTTACTACTTTGTTGATACATCCCGTCTTCGACCTACCAGACGTTAAACTCGACGTCTTTGGCTTTGTTCCTGAATTAATTCACTACCCAACTGGAAGCCAGTTTTCAACAGTAATTGTGAGCATCTCCATTTTGGTCGAGTCCCAGCCAATCATACCTCTATATACCTAACACTTTGCCAAGTATCAGGTCCTCGAAGCTCTCTACCAAATGTGTGTCCTATACTACACCATGTATAGCTGTTTCCCCAGCTGCAAGACGGGAACCAAACAACCATTGGAACTAGAACGTTGTGGACTCTTCCGCGAGATCGAAGATCTGTCAGTAGACACCAACAGATGTAGCGAAGCAAGGGGTCGAAATGGTCAAAAGACTGAATTTAAGATGTTGAGACTTAAGCAACGCTGCCCTGCATGTGTCACAAAAGCAATAGCGGCAAAAGTAGCAGAGAGGAAGGCGAGAGAAGAAAAAGAAAGGAAGGCGGAGAGAAACGGGGAGAGAGGGGAGGTTCTAAGACAGTTGAGAATGGAGGAGGATGAAGAGGAAGAGACTCCTAGATTCAGTCAACACCAGTTCACTGACGCCAACTTTCCTCTTAATACTTGTAATCCTGACAAGAAGTTGGTCTGGTTTCTTGAACCAGATGAGCTAGTAGCAGACATGGAAGGCGAATTGAGAAATGGAGCAAGTTTCCAAAAAATCGTGGAATCTATGGCTATGAAGGCAGAACTCTTTCTTCAATATCAAGATCAAAATCCGCGCCGACTTACCAACCCTGACGATTCATTATTCCCCATGACTACCATCACAGCCACTATTAATAATCATCAAGACAAACTCCCAAGCCTCGAAGACATTTTCACGACCCCACTATCTCCCATGTCTACGCTGCTAAGCGACACAGCGTCTGGAGAAGGGCCTCCAAAATTGCTTGGTGACACTGAAGGAAATTTTGGCTTGGGCATTTACTTCTAAACGCTTGAAAGCGTGGAGATGAAAGCAATTGCAAACATTCAAGCTTTTCAAGGTAGTGGGGGTAAAATCGTTTAGCGTCCATCAGAGTGTTCCACAGTTTGGAACTAGCAGTCTTAATGTAAGCTTAAAATATTAAGCCTTCCAATATCCGAAATGAATTTGAGATTTCAACCCAATAGAATATTCGAATTAACATATTGGAAGAATCTGAATGTCAAACTGCAGCCCGGACCATCGAAAACGGTAGGACCCATCATACTTGGGGAGATGATGGGGAAGTGTGGCAGAATATAAGTAGGCAGATATGAGAACTCGGGATTGCACAGCAAAATTCCAAGAGATAATTAAACCACTAGTGTCGTTGTAATAAAGTCAGAACTGTTGTTCGTAATATTGCTACTTGGATACTACGCGATCGGAAGTTTCCAAATGATCTCACTGGGGTGTGAAAACCCTTGTGGTCCAATCCCCAGAAGCAAATTCTATGAAGGAGTTAGGAAAGCCTTTATGCATTGAAAGGTTTGTCAAAAGAGTTCCTTTGGGTGATAATAGAAGAGAGGTACAGCAAAACCTCTCCATAAGAATGCCGGTTTTTGTAGTCTTTTTTAAGGATATATAAAGGTATCCTTGTATAGAGGTTTTGTTTAATTCCGATATAGTAGTAAATTTTTTTTTGATTAGTTTTGATTGGGTAAGTTCTGTGACATTTTTAGGGTTTTAATAAGAAATCTTTTTAAAATCCAGATATGTTTATTATATAATAGTTGATTCTAATGATTTTATTGGTTCAATAAGGATATATGTGATTCTGGGATTGAGAATTATAAGGATATTTTAATAAAGAGTTTTCAAGGATATAGGCCTTTTTTAGGCCTAAATTTTTTTGGGATCGAAAAATATATCCTTATAGAGAGGTTATTTTTATAGGGGGATCCTTACGGAGAGGTTTTGCTGTATACGAATACTCAGTCATGATTTGCCCACGAAAGATTGAGTTGAAGGGCCGACGCTTTGTCGAAATGAGATAATATTTTCCAAATTGAAGTTTACTTTGGCAATGGTGTAGTCCTGGAGATTGCCGAAGCTAGGTAGTTAGAAGAAAGGCAAAAACCCTCATAGAAATGCTTAAAGCTCAACACGGTCATGAGTTTTCCTAAACATCGTTTGCTGTCGATAGCAGCATGAAGAGGCCAATCAGGAGCCGAAAGAATGTCTAACAGGCTTAAGGAAGAAAATGGAAAGATCTAAAATTTCAGGAAAAGGACAAGGACGCAGGCGACTGATAGAAAGGGCACGGCTTTCAAGAAACATTGAGTTGATGATGTGGTTCGGTGCGACTTGTTTTCCTCATCCTCGGCAAGTGAAGGGGTCGGAAGGAAGAAAGCTGTGAACAGTAAATTACCGATGAATCTTTGAAATTGGATCCGCTTAATGAAGGTAAAGTTGGTCCCGAGACGAATGACATGTGTGAATTCGAAATTGTGATAATACATGAGTTTTTTCATAGGTTTACTTTGCTTAGGTATCTACCTATTCAGAAAGTCTTGAGCAGAGCAGCAGCACCTAAGGTTCTTCTTGACCCGATACGGGTAAATTACGGGGTAATTGACGCCGCTTTTAGATGATGCTTTCGCATAGGCAATACTTCGGACGCCGTTTTATTTTTAAAATTATGATCAATAAGATCCTCTGTCCACGTCCCACTGTTCCTCCCTAAATGCTTTCCAACGACATCATAAGGTTTGACCCATATCAACAAGACACCCCGACGAGCCCGATAAGTATCTTGGTGGATGTCTTCATAGCCGAGAACATGACGTCTTTCAAACACATGACAACTTTCCCTCGCTCTTATTGCTTCCTCTCGCACGAAAGGCCATGTGGGCACCGTGTCGATTCTCTATGAACACTGCAGAGAATTCACAAGGGATTGAGCTTTTAAGACGAAAAACACAAATCAATCGATGAATTGATAGGATTGCCGTCCCCGGACCCTCACGTCCCATATCTCACGGCACCACTATAAGCTTAATATCCTAAGCTCTGGTCGTCTGGCCTTCACTAAGACATACTAGTCGTTGATCCTCCGGGAGAGAAACATCCCGAACGCCTCTAGTTACATGCGTAGGTCAAGTTCCTTTGACATTTATTTTCCTTACTTTTGGTAATATACCTTTATTTCTACTTTACTTTCTCCTATTTTTCTATACCTGCGTGATAGCATCACAAGGTTCTCTTTATTTCCGAGAGAAAACCATTGTTTACAACACGAAGGAGACACTGTGAGACACGACGGGTAGGATTTGAGACGAACACGACGATCGAAATCTTACACAAACGAACGAATTCTTGTCTCGATATGGCTTGATTGTTTCGAAGATCGGATGAATAATTGAATAGTCTTGACACAAGATACACAAGTACCTAGAGACTTGGGACGAATTTTGTGCCTGCGGAAAATCCGGAGAACCTTCGAAACAAACCATCAAAGCCGCGACATTGAATCAGACGCAGGAAACTCATTGCGCATTATCTATCATCGTCACAACTAGAAATCCTCTACAGAATGCTCTGTACAAACAGACCCGAGGGCTTCGTACGTCCCAATACATTTCCCTTCAGCTCCGCATCCACTGACAGTTTTTCCAGGGCCCAGCCTCCCACCTCAATTCCTCAACCCTCCCCACAACTTGTTTCACAGACGTTATCCTCATTCCCCTTCCAACTTGGCTCGCTCTCGCCTTCGTACCTATCCTCTTTGCTCTAGGGCTACACCACCGCAAAATCAACTATAACCCCTCCACCGCACACTTGCGCTCCAATACCCGCTCCTCATGTCTCTACCTCATCTTCCTTATCATTTACTACTTCCTCATTTTTGCAAACATCGCCATGCTTACTCTGGAAATCGTGCGGTTGACTAACCTTCACTATGGCATTGGTTTATTGCCATTCGCCTATGCCGGAATCCTTCTCTCGGCTGCTTTGTTTTGGAGTGAAGGAATACAACGACGTGTGAGGTGGTGGCAGGGAATAAATATGTTGATTTGGACAGGAGGAATTGTCATGAGTGCTGTGCAGGTTATTGGATTGAAACAACAATATGGCTACGATGGGAGAAAGGAGAGCAAATATCCAGTTAGCGACCAGATTCTTGACGTAGCTGTCATGGCGGGTGTATATGCCGTTATTGCGCTACTGGAGGTGGTGCTGGTAGTATGGAGGAGGAAGAGAAGAACATCGGCCTTGAGGTCGGAGAGAGGAGAAATGGGTGCGTTTGAATATGGGAGAGGTGTAAGTGAGAGCTCTGGCATGAAGGAGTAGATTATTGTTTCAGACCTGGAGACATCTTTATGGTGATCTTATACTTGTACTTCCTGCAATTGATATGATTGGTTTGGCGCGTTGGAATGAATACATTGGGACTATTCTATTGGAATATGGTCATGGTATACCCTGGGTACTTTACTTTTCACAAACTGTTAGGAAAAATGTAAATACGCCTCGTATCTATTTACTACCACTAAGCTTATTGTATATATATATATATTGCCTCTCAATCAATTAGTGATGAATCTTCATCCATTGACTTGCAGAACAGCAATTGCCACATGATTCTACAGCCAGAACGGAATGCAAGAGTAAGTGGATTTTCGAGACAGGCGCGTTGAGGTTTCAGGCTTTTGAAAAGGATCAGCGCTGACAGGCTCAGCCTGGCTACGTCCTACGCAGACGTACTAAAATATACCATACTTTCGCACACATGGGGCGGCGACGAGATCACTTTCCAAGACTTGGTGAATGGTCCGGGGACGAGATCGAAAGGTGGAAACAATCGTGTGCCAAGACAAACGCAGTCAACCAATTTCTCATGATATCTCCAGCTTTCTCTTGTATTCCTAGCCGCTAGGGGCTGATCAATTCCAGATCTTGCATTTGAAGCCTGGAGTGGTAGGAGGCACCATTGTTGGCGAGGTCTCTAAACATAGCCCACGTTCAAATCTATTTGAGGAAAGTCTGTTTGAGATCTGGTAGTATCATATGTGGGATCTAAAAAGATTGAATTTGACTTTTGGATTCTGTTGCTATGTATCGTACCAATATATATATATACAGATGTGCTATGAGAGATTTTTACACCAATGACTATATAAACCTTGTGGGAAATACTGCCTAGACTAGCCGTATAACGTGTGTAATTACATACTATTATGTTTCAATAGACTGATGTGAACGAACAAGCCGTGGACCAATTCATACCGAAGAAAATCGATGAAACGCTCAGCATTTGGGGGGTATTAGGTTAAGACTCTAAGCAAAGCCGGTGCTGACAACAAAGCTTACGTCGTCGTTGAACGAGGCGGCAACATCGAAGGTGTGAACTCCACCGTTGTTAGCAGCGTAAAGTACGTTGTTGTAGTGACGGAAATAGCGAGTAGGGTAACTCCAAGCTCTGATCGAGCTACCTTGGCCATTAAGACCAGCTTGTGGGCAGAATGTGGCATCTTCGCGGAACGCCTTGGAGCCGTCATTGGCATTGAGCAAAAGTCCGAAGTTGTAGTGTCTGATGTAGCTGCCGGGGGTATCGTTTGACTCAAAGGAGAAACAGGCGCTGTTTGCAAGACCGGCGCGAACATACCAGCTAGCTTGCTTTTTGAGCGCGGTGGTGCTGGATGACGAAACGACTTGAGTGTTCACGCTGGCCCCGGTGTGTGCAATGTAGCGTGTTGTGTACCCGGCGGTAGTAGCCCGAAGAGAGATCGAGTTACCAACGGTGAGAGCAGTTCCGCTGGTCAATGATGTGGTAGCATATTTAGCAGCTACGATGTTGGCCTGCACCGAGTTCTCGGTGGCATCAGAAGGATATCCAGTGGTCATCACACCCTCGTAGAAGGTTCCCTGAGCGCTTACACTGTTGTCTCCGCCGATTCCGAGGATAATAGCACCTTCTTTGCTCATTGGGTTATATCCCTTCGCACTTGGGCGCACACCACTGTAGTACGTCGACAGACCGCCAGATGCAGCGTTGGCACCTCGAATGGCCCACAAATTTGGTCCTCCCTTGACGACTGCAGTGAAGAAACGGGAGGTGATTGATGGATCCCCAGTGTTGACACCAGCGCTCAGACCAGAGAATAAGCCGTTCTCAAGATCGGCCATGAGCCAAGGACCACTGCCGGCTCCTGATCCCCAACCCGTACTGTCACCAAAGTAGATGGCTTCCATGTGACCGTTACCAGTGTCAGTACTGCTAGTCTCTGCGTTACCGTAATCGAAACAGCAGCCACCATTGTAGTGCGTTCCATCGAGAACTGCGTACATACCCTCCGCTGCATCACCTTTGGCTATTCCACTAGGAGCATTATTGCGGTAGCCTGTTCCGGGTGAAATGAAGACTCCGTATGCTTTCTGGCCGTTGAGTGTGACTGGTGCGCCAATTGCTGAGGCCAAGTTATCGTAACTGTTCACATCAGGACCGTCAAATCCTCCAGGAGGAGCTTGGGTGAGGTGGTTACCACGACCAGACTGATCGTAGATTATTGTGATGAGACAGGTGGTGTTAGCGCAGAAAGTGTCTTGAGAAGCAGCGTTGGCCACTCCTCCTGCAGCTAGAGGTGCAATGTCTTTAGTTGTTCCATCTGAGCCACGTTTCACCTAGTACATCGAAGAGTCAGCAATTGTTTACCAAAGACTATGATGTTGAGCATCTAATTGCTTACCTGGTAAAGCGAGCCACTGAAAGCACTGTACAAAGCGCGAGTAGTACTATGTGCGGCAACTGTAAGATTGAAGGGTCAGTCATCAGGAACCTTTACAACGTAACGAGCTCTGAAGTAATCAATTGAAGGCTTACCACACGGAGTTCCACCAGAGGAGTAGATATCGCAGGGTCCAGCGGCAACGAGAGGGCTAGCGGCAACAAGGCCTAGAGCAAGTGCGCGAGCGCGTTGAAGTCTTTGACGTGAAAACATATCTAATCACTTTGATGGCGGAACGACGATGTGAGGCACGCTTGAAAGTTCTCAGATCATTAACGAGAAGCTTAGATGGCCACTAACGTAGAACTGAAAACTGTAAGGTCGGCGTCTTGGGTGCCTTTAATTATCTTCATCAACTTTGTGAAGCTTAGCTTGCATGCTCCTGATTGGTACGCATACCATGCACCTACCTAGTCGTATTGACAATTACTCTGAGGTAGCCACTCATCGGAATTTCCGAGGACCAAGAGTCATATGGAACTTTTTATTCCACCTCTGATGCTCGCGGAACAAGTATTATACGCGTCACGAGGTCTGACTTGTACAGTGCTAAAGAAACAACAGCAGCAGTTTGATGGAGAACTCGGGTCATCCCGAATGCACCCCGCAGAACTAATCATAGGTATTGCCAGTAGAATATGTGTACTATGTCCACAATTAGTGGAGGAAATGCCCGCCACTTCAGTGACCCGTGCCAGGTTTAATTAGAACGAATATGTGTTATTAGTTAGTTCTCCGAACTAACTCAGCGGATCTTGTAGCTGCAGATGTTTATATCCAATACCGGATCCCAAGACCTGCAGGTATAAAGATATTCCATGCGCTCCAATCGGCAGCACATAGGTTGATCTTGGTAATTAGATCTGCGGGGTAAGCCAGAGTGTTTAAGAATTGTGATTAACCCAATATTGAAATCCGGGGCCCCAGGTCGGCAATAAACTGCCGAATCGAGCTGCCCGTCCCGTTGTGTATGTGAAAGGTGTGCTCGCTTAAGCACTGGTCCGGGGGGTACCCACCTCTAATTGTAACCATAGCCACTTGATGGAATAATTCGGCAGATGCAGGTACGTGTAACTGTCAATTAGAAGTATAATGTGTTTTCGGAGGCCTTGATTGGCCCTCATATAGTGGGAAAATAGCGAGAGCAAAGCTTGATGTTCACAAGACTATGTTAAGCCGTCGACCTCTATCATCCCGAGGCCCACCGATCTAATCGATGTTGTCTTGTCTGCGATCCAATAAATACCGATGTCGTTTGCCTGATAGTTTCATGGACAGTGTGCCTTGGAACTAAAAGAACTTTTTATCTCGATACTTAGGATGTTTGTCCCGAAAACATTGCGAAGTCTAGAAGATTAACTCTTTGGACAATGAGAAAAAGGATATAAGCGTTGCTGCGTTACGAACGCAAACATCGATCGTATTTGAATACGGTCTGACCATATATCGACTTGCTTTATCTACGGAGTATACTCCGTGAAAGACGATCCTGCGGCAGATGTAAAAAACCCTCAGAGAGGATGTTGAAATACGAAGAGTGGAGCAGAGAGGAGAAGAGAGGAGAGTGACTCGAGTGGAGCATCACTAGTATACCACGTGATAGGACAGCATGGCTTGCTGCTTTTATTTTCGATAAGATCTAGCCAGCGGGTAGATGACAACGCAGCAACATCTTACTCCGGAACACCGAATTTCTGGAGAGAGCTGGATCTCCTGGCGTTGTCCGTAATATCAAGCGACTCCACTCAAATGAACAACAACTACTTCAGAATTTGAATCTAGAATACCAAGCCGATAATTGGATAATTCGCCGCGGGAGACAAATTATGAAGCTAATAAACAGAATTATGATGCGCAAGAGACTGCAGCAAGAGAAGAATTCTGAGCAACTTCAACAACATCAGAGCACGGGCGACGTAACATTAGACGACCATGAACGAGAAGGAGATAACAACCGTTTGGCCGATAACCATACGCTGCTACACTATGCGCAAGGTAAGGATTTGACACAAAGATCATGTAAAACCTGTTCGGTATTACACCCGTTTGACCCAACCAAGTTAAAGCCTGGGAATCGATATATCGGAGTGTTTACGATGAGGAAAACAGCAGCAGAAGGCTGCGAGCTGTGTTCAATCCTCTTGAAAGTTGCAACTTACAAAGTGGAATGTGCGACTTTCTTGAAATTTTCTTTCCAATATGGCTACTTAGCTGCGGTAGTTTCTTTGGATGGGAAGGAATCTCCCCAAAGAGAGTACTGTGTCAGCCTCCGCACCTTGTCTGGTAAGACCGCCTCGACAATTCTGCAATAACTTACACTGGAAATTCTATAACTGAAACTCCAAGGTCAACCTTCACCATGGCCTTGCTTTGCACCCCAGCAACATATTCCTCCGCGAGTTGAGATGTGGAATGCAATTTGCCATATCAAAAAGTGGCTCAGCCAGTGCGTGAGCCTTGATAGTTCCGCTCTTATAGGCCATCAATGCCACGAAGTCAGCGAACTTATCATGCCAGTGCTACCTACTCGTGTGCTAGATGTTAGTCGGGTTGGCCCTGATGGTAAAGTTTACTTGGTTCACAGCAATGGAAAAGGCCAAAAGTACACAACCCTAAGTCACTGTTGGGGCGATGCAGACCATGCGCCTATTACGACCTCAAAGGCCACTGTATCCGATAGAGCATCTGGGATTGTTCTTGACTCTTTACCAAAAACATTCCGAGATGCTGTAGTTATCACCTACCACCTGAACATAAACTATATATGGATTGATTCACTTTGCATCATCCAAGATAGTGAAGAAGATTGGAATTTAGAAGCTTCCAGGATGGCACAGATTTACTCTTCTAGTTTCTTGAATATAGCTGCAACTGCTTGCAAGGACAGTACTGTTGGCCTTTTCTATGACGGCTGGAATGAGGAGGATGGATTCTTGGGGACCCCGCGTGAGATTCGGTGGTCAGGAAGTACTTCAAATCATGGCGATTATTCGATATATATGCAGGAGATAGATCACAGCCACTTTCACGATTCCGAACTACGTATAGAAGGTCCTCTGGTAGGCGTTTCAGAAGGGCATGCAGAAGAGTTAGGCTAACATTGTCCAGATGTCCCGAGCGTGGGCATATCAAGAACGTTTCCTGGCACCTCGAACTGTACACTTCACATCAGCAGAAATGATCTGGGAATGCGGCAGCATGGTCGTTTGTATATGCCCGTGTGATATTCATTTTGGCCTTGATACAGTACCAAGATATCACAACTATAGCCACCGAGAGAAAAAAGATCAATGGTTCGGACAGTGGGGCATAATTGATGAATATTCCAAGCTCAATCTCAGTAAGCCAGCAGATCGGCTCCCAGCTATTGCAGGGATTGCGTCTCATTTCGAGAGCCATGAACGTAGGATAAAGAATGGGAAATCGACAACATCGCGCTATTTTGCTGGTCTTTGGGAAGACAACCTGCATCATGATTTGCTGTGGCGTGTGATCTTTCCGGAGAATGAACCTCGTGAGGTAGTTCGGATTGTCCCATACAATGCGCCAACGTGGTCATGGGCTTCTCTGGATTCAAAATTTATACCAAGTGGGAAGCCAGGTCAGGGTGTTAACATAGGGAACCACTACAGTACTGGTGGTATAGCCCCCGATTTTAAAATTTTGGATTGCTATACAACTCTAATCGATCCGTCTAACATATACGGTGGTGTTAAAAGTGGAAAGATTGTTTTGCAGGGAAGATCCGTTACACCAACAAAAGTAGAATTATTCTACGAGGAATTCCAATGTTACAAATTGTTCTTCCATGATATCAAAGCAAAGCGTCGAGCGATAAAAGACAATCAAGATTTTGGGAAGCTGATGGCAGATATCCCACTGGCGTTGTCAAAAATTATCAAAGATAGAGTCGATTGTGGAGAATTACATTGCCTGTGGATCAATTCATTTCAAGGTGTTAGGCGTAATGATCACCGTCATTTAGCACTAGTTTTGAGGCAATCAGAAACTTCAGAGGTATATGAGAGAGTGGGTATTGCCACGTTTGATAAAGGTGGTATAGCAGTCGGTGGTGGAATCGGTGATTCTACTTTTGGTAAATTTATGGAATCTATTTGGACTAAAAGTGGCATCCAAACATTCGAGGTTGTCTAAATCGAGGTAAATACTTCAGATACGCGCCATGCATTCAGAAAGTCTATGAGACTCCGATTGGAGATCGGTCTGCTACGATTATACGATTATACTCGGAAGAAAGACACGCTACGACACTGGCCAGCTAACTTGACCATTTGAACGGGATGTTTGTCGCAGTCAAATGAGTGACGGCGCCGCGGAGGCAGATTGATTTTCAAAGAACGTTGAATTGAATCAACTAGAAATAGCACGCTATCTAAGAAAATTCTCATTGTTGTAGCAAATGATTGATCTCTCCAGCTTGATCCGCCTGTTTAGGGTCTGTTAGACAATGACAAAATACCCTAGGTCCGAGAGTCTATCTTTGATACTATTATTTTTAGGTTTAGATTTAGTTAACGAAGAAATATGAAGAAAGATCGACTGTTCCAACGAAATCTATATATTTAGAATCTACCAAGTGTCACCTTCATCGTTCTCTCCGAAGAAAAAATGTTGCTCGTCTAAGATAATTGACAAAAGACTCCTCTTTGCGAATAGATTCAAAGGATATGTAACCAAATCCAAATACTGATTTAAGTCTCGATTCGAATACCATCAGTAGAACATATATTTGAGTAGTTCTTCCAAAAACACTCCTTCCAATGCCTTAGTTGTGGAGTTGCGCGCCCCTTCTCAGGAACACAACTACTTGCATATGCAACCAGACCAGCATCGAATGTAAACTCTGTGTCTAGTGTATTATCTGGCTACCCAATATAATAATAACATATACGCAAATAATGCAAATCCCTCCAGCATTATTAATTAATCATCAGCGTTTGTGGTTTAGTGGTAAAATCCATCGTTGCCATCAACCTCTGCCTTCAGAGGACGAGTGCGAAACAACTTCGATGGGCCCCGGGTTCGATTCCCGGCGAACGCAATAATGTTTTGCCTTTTCTATCTTCATATGTTTTTTGAAAGAATGTGTTTTGTTGTCAAATTTTGAAGTTGTGGTGGGTTCAAACTTGTGAAGCTTTGGTGATAGTGGGGTAGTGTGGGGTGATTGTGGTTTTTTTCTGGAATGATAAGTGAGCACAGATAGATTTGTCTTTTGATATAACCTTGAGAATTTAGGGCCCGTTCGAATCGTTTTTTTAATTTATTAACAAAATAATTTGTTGATTAATAATTTAGCCTAAATTATATAGATTTATAAAATATAGAGTAATAAATATTAACAAATATTGTCAAATACTGATTAAAGTTATATTACAGATTTGATAAGGCTCGATAAGATTGTTATACAAATTTTCAAAATTTGTAAATTCACATTTTGTAGTTTTTTGTAGTTTAATATCAGTGTTTGGTAAAATACTTTTTTTATTAATATAAATTGTTAAATTATATTAGTATTTAGTAAACATTTATTTAAATCTATATTACCAACAAATATAGCTCTATATTGCCTAAAAAATCGATCCGAATGGGCCCTTAGGATTTCATTTGTTCTGAGAATCTACAACATCTTTTCGATGCAGAAGTCAAGAGGGATTGGTTTGGGCAGTGCTGGGGGGCAGCTCTCTGTACATGGTACCTCGGAGATTGAGGACCTTTGGATTTTCTCGTTTTGTCCAATCCTGCATATTTTGATGCTCTGTTGACCAATGATTATTGCAGTCAATGGCTTACAATGTAACCTGTACCATAAACCTTGGCTCTATAATCATTTCCTTTCATCCTCCAATTCTTGAGAGAAGCGATAAAGATATGCGATAACTTACATAAATCCATTCTTTGATCCTTGGCATGAGTTTATTTCCATCTTCAATACCGTCATCATCTTCGAATCCCTTACACGCTTCTTCCTCAAGCAACCACATAGAATATGCCTTCAAAGTGGACAGAGGCACACAAGTCAACTAATGGACCGGGCGATGCACGTCCAACCGCCTTGCAGATTGTACAGGATGAGGATCTAACAGGCAAACTCACTGGAAAAATCATCCTGATCACCGGTTGCTCCTCAGGAATTGGGGTCGAAACTGCCAGAGCTCTGTCTACCACGGGTGCGACATTGTATCTAACTGCACGGGACATCACCACTGCTGAAAAAGTACTCGAGGATATCTTGGAGCCCGGCCGAGTGGAGATTCTGGAAATGGATCTCAGCTCATTAGCTGGGGTGAGATTGGGCGCGGAGAAATTTCTAAGAAAAAGCTCTAGATTGAACATTTTAGTGTGTAATGCTGGAATCATGGCGATTCCAAATTATAACACAACTGTGGATGGGTTCGAGATGCAATTTGGGGTTAACCATTTGGCACATTTTCTACTTTTTCAACTGCTGAAGGACATATTACTATCTTCTGCTTCTCCATCATTTAATTCGCGGGTGGTTATGGTGTCCAGCGCCAGCCATCGTAATGGGGGTATCAGACTTGATGATTACAACTACACCAAAAGACCAGAAGAGTATGACTTATGGGGTTCATACTCGCAATCAAAGACAGCCAACATCTACATGGCCAATGAGATTGATCGTCGCTATAGTCAGCAAGGGTTACATGCAACGTCGCTGATGCCGGGAGCAATACCGTCTGGAATTAGTAGACATCTTGACCCGAAAGACGTAGCGGAGTACAATGCCACAGAGATAATGAGGAAAACGATGAAAAGTCCAGAGCAAGGTGCTGCGACGACAGTGTTGGCTGCGATTGGAAAGGAGTTTGAGAATAAAGGCGGGGTGTACCTAGAGAATTGCGAAGTTGCAGGACTCTATCCTTCTGATCGTCAGCTTGATCATGTTGCTAATATCCCGGGATATGTGGAGCATGCTTTTGACAAAGAAAAAGAAGGTAGACTGTGGTTGGACTCTTTGAAGATGGTCGGGTTGGATGAGTAAAAGTTTCAAAAACTTAGTATCACCTATGGTATCAGTGTGTTCAATTGTTCACTTGGTGGATACTAAACTGTGCATAATGCACTCGTTTTTTCCTAAGCAGCATAACATCTAATGAATTTATTTACTCGATTGGATACAACAAAAAGCAGATGGTTATAATACCAAAGTTTGGGCTCTTGACATCCCTGTATCTCTATTTCCCAAAGTATTCAATGGTCTGAGCAGTAATTCAATGATATAAGATTTTAAGTATCTAAAAGTAATTCGAAATTCGAAAATTGTTCAACATTTCAATCGAATGTATTCTCTCAAATGATTTACTTGTTTATTCTAACCGATTTGAGAATTTGATCATCTTTATTATGCCAGACTATCAGACACCTTGTTCTTTCACCTACACCAATAAACCAGAATCATAACTTTCTCCAATTTCTCCCCGCTGTAACCTCTAATAGACTCGAAAGTTCCGAGTCTAGTGCTATTAACATCACACTCACATCAGAATCATCGTTTAAGCTCTAGCTATCTTGACACCAGTTTGTTCCTTGCCGACGATGTTGCTCCGGAAGATGAAACCAGATTACTCCCTAGGTTGTTGCATTTCGTGAAATCTTAGGAATATCATATACATTTTCATGAATTATGTCTATATTGAGTGTTTTTAGCGAGAAGCTTATCCGAAGATGAGTGTCGTAGAGAGTGTTCGTTGCCTGAATTATGTACGATGCCAGTACAATAGTGACAATATCACTGCAAGACAAACCAATTCCAGTTCATCCAGAAACACTTTGTGCCATGCAAGATAAAACTCACTCCAAGAAGTAAATATAGGTCCAAAACCAGTATCATCCACTTCAAAGACAGAGCTGATTTTCTCTTTGGAGAACTCAATCGGTACGCTTTCTCCGTCGCCTGAACCATAAAGTGGCAGATGCGTCTTCCAACCTCCCTCCGACTCGAACTGCTTGTAAACAACGATTGACAGTGCCGTGGTGCAGCGAGAGATAGGGTATCGATTATGGTGCTTCAATTCAACGTTGAATACTGTTAGACAATACCGACACTGCAAAAGTCCCGAATGAATATCCCGGGAGATGTTGTTCTCGTTGGTGGCAGTGTATTTCTGACAAGGTAGTTGTAACGCTGACCAGATCTCTTCAGGTCTACTGTAGGCACAGTATAATCTGGCGCAGAGCTTAGAACCAACTTTCGCGAGATGAAGATGAGAGCAAATAGGTATGTGACTAGGTATTTCAAGACTTTGGCATTTCCAATTGTAATTCATGAGTTTCCGGGTGAATATGGATCCATTCTTCATACGGCATTCTCCTTTCTTCTCTGTCTTCAAACTTTTGCAAAATCTATCATCGGAGTAGTTCTCGGGTGCCGACAAAAGTCTTAAGAGCCGCCGGGCTTGAGCATCGTTACCAAAAAGTCGGTAGTGCTTTATTGCCATTTTGGAAATAGTAACGCCAAAATTCTTGTGGGCATACAAACCCACCCGGCGCAATTCATCATCTTTTACACAAGTTGGTATTGTATCAAATTCTGGAAGTCCAGAAATCTCTGGGTCAGTTGAGTATCCTTCCCAGCAATAAGACTTTTTGGCAGATCTCTCAGCATTTCGTATTTTATGAAGCTTCCTGCAGAAAGTACAAGCGATTTGATCTTGAAGATCGTGTTCCAAAAGATTCAGAAATTCCAGTGTGTCGTCTTTCAAAGTCTTCAAGCCATCGATGTATTGCGTTCCAATCACCAAACCAATTTGTCGACAAGTGAGGAAAAAGGATCCAGCCGATGCAGGAGTAAAATGTTTAGCAATCATTTGCATCACATCGTTTGGAACTATGCGCAAGGGTGAGTTTTTTAAGGCATCCGATGGACTTGGCCTCGAGACGGCAAGATATCGATTGAATCGAAATGGATTTTGTCGGAAAAGAAAAAGCTGGGAATTAATACTATCCATTTCGGAAATGGGTTTAGATATTATTGAAGTCGAAGATGTTGGGAGGATTGATGTATTTTGAATGGATGGTGACAGAAGGGGGCTGAAGGGCGTCCTTATATGTGAGGATGTACTAGATAGCCGTATTTTGAGTTTCTTGACTAGAGATATTTAGTTGAGAATACCTAAGCTTACTATCTTAGATCATTCATGTGTAGGTACAGCGGCAGTAGTGAATGCCGCTTCCGAGAATTTCAATTACATTTTGTCGAAACCACACAAATCTTTGTCCTAGAGATGGTCAATCTGATACTTCATCAATCTTGGTTTTTGGTATTCACTTGTAAACAATATTAAGATTGGGTTCCGTATTAGAATCAGCATCGGGTAAACCCCTCCTATTTTTGAAATAGTCAATAGCTCCTTCCGGCCCCAAACGAAGCTATTCCGACTGCACCTTCCAAGATGTTAGTTATATGAGGTGAATAGCTCATTTATTTAAGTGAATGACTTTAAAGATCAAATATATTGAGATGAGAGTAAGGACTCAAAGAAGAATTTTCTCTCAGTCTTTACAGAAGTCGATCAA